CCCAGCTGCCCTGGCAGTGGGGGGAGGGTTCCCATCCCTGGAAGCGTTCAGTAAACATGTGGATGTGGCACCTGGGGATGTCATCAGGGTCACCTCCCATGTTTGGTCACAGGCTGGACTCAATAAGGTCTTTTCCAAAATTAATTATTCTGTGATTCCTTAAGTAAGGAACCAGCCTCCTTCCCTGGGTGCTCCCCTGGTTCTCCCACTCAGAATTATTTAAGGTACAGCTAATTAAAGTGTGCCACGAGGGGCAGCTCCCCTCGGAACAGCTCCTGCAGCAGAGTCCGGAGGGAACAGAGATCCACGCCCTGCCTGTGAGGAGCTCCAGGGGCTCCAGATTCGGCCACAGCAGGGACTCACCTCGTGGATGAATCCGTAATGCACCAGCTCTGTGGCCAAATCCTTGGAGTTATCAGCTGCAGAGACAAGGAGCAGGAGAACATGAACATGGACACAGCTCAGGGAGCTCCTGTACCTGGGAGAGTTGGGAAAACGGGGCAGGGAGGTGGAACAAGGTTCCCAAAGCTCCCAGAACACAGCTCTGGACAATGTGCACTTGGAAAGGCTTTGTTTGGTGTTGTAATGCAGTTAGGAAAAATGGTATGAGCCAAAGAATGCACCCCCAAAAATGCAGACTTGTAAGTTCTTTCCCTTATCTTCTTCTCCCAGTTCCCCTTACTGGTTGTGTAAATCCCCCCACCCCTTTCCCCTGTCCTCAAAAAGGGGTGCTCATCAATACCTCTTCCTCTTTCCCTCCTGCAACTTCACCCCGAAGGATTCCAAGAAATAAAACTGCGACTGCCATCTCAGCAAAGGGGAAGAGCCTCGTTTTTAGGGTCTCCTTTGGAAGCTGTTCTCCCTCCCCTGCCTCCCTGGCTGCTGCGGGGTGGGCAGGGGCAACAGAGGGGCAGGGGACAAAGTAACAACAGCAGCTTGGCTCAGCAGGGAACGCCCCAGGACAGTGCCTGTGGCAGAGCCCGCGAGGGGCTGGGGAAGGAGCAGCTCCCAGGGACCATTCCCAGCTTTCTGAGGGAACCCTGGCTGTGAGGGAGCCCCGGGGCTCTGGCTGCCCAGGGGCTCCTGATATTCGGGACCTTTCCCAGGCCCCTCCGACAAGGATCCACCTTTCCTTTGGAAAAGTGCTGGGAATGAGGCTGGAGCTCCACTGGGACCACAGGAACTGCCCACTGTGGGTCCTGCTGGGAATGCAGCTCTGGAATGACCGCTGGATCACTGCCTGCCAACTGCACCCTATGGGCAGCGTGGTGGAAACCAGCACAGGGCCCAGCTGGGCGAGGGCTGGGACAAAAAGGGGAAAGGAGAAAGAATGGGAAAAGGAAAAAATAAGGAGAAAGGAAAGGAAAAAATAAGGAGAAAGGAAAGGAAAA